TTTAACTAGATGCGTCTGCAGGTGCATCTAGTAATAGTTAAATCGATCGATTATCGGACGATAAATCGATAGTTGCAACTAGAAAAAATCTAATAATCGCCTAGTTACTAGATTTCCACTGTCGTTATACACTAGTTGCAATCGAGTAAAAATCTAATAATCTAGATGAATCGGGCGATACTAGATTTTTTTTTGACGGTTGGGTGGTGTCTATTTTTATCTTTCCAGCTGATATTCGCATCAGAGATGGGCGAGTCCAAGTCCGGACTTGAAGGTTTTTTTGACGGATTTGGACTTGGGAATTTTTTTATCAAGTCCGTTTGAACTGCAAGAAGTTAAAGTCTTTTATATCCAACATCGGAATGAGTATAATCTGATACCTAGTTCATTAACCCTTTCCGGCCTGATGTTGCCATTTGGCAACACTTTTTGCTGTGTTTTCGAAACAGCCGGCTGGAAAGGGTTAACCTTTTTTTGTCAAACATGCATCAATGTACGTTGCATATGTTATGCCAGCACTAAAATATGGAATGATCGGGTCAAAACTATGGTTTGTCTTGCCTCTACTAACTTTTCTAATACCTTGATTAACGGATTATGCGTTATAGGGCTCCGCATGGGCTGGATAGCTCGCGCACTCGGACTGTCGGACGTGGAAAGATTTGGAACGAGCGAACGATACATGACAACCGGATACATTCTATACAATTCTTCAGTCTAAACCAGATATTTTATTGTCGTAGTTTTGTTTATAACTTGTGTATTAACAAAATTACTAGTTGATGATAATGGATCAGTGAGTGATGAAAACTTGCCATGCGTGTCATGTCAACGTATACCCCTCGTTGTATTTTGCTGGCATTTTCCGAATATATAGACAAAAAATTGACGAGTCAATAACATTGAGATACGCTGTGTGCTTGATGACTTCGTCTTGTAGACATCTTTTTCGTGGAGACGGATAATATTCTACACAAATGCACATATTATAAATGAAATAGGTATCGCCAATATTTTAAATTGGTATAATCACTGGAAAATGAACAAAATATATTAAATTTCGATTGGAATATGGCAAGAGCGTTTGAATCTAATTAGGATAATGAACAAATACAAAGTGTTAACAGCTATTATATATATATATATATAACTACACAAAATAATGGATAAAAGAAGCACATCTTCCATCCGTTTAAATCAAACAAAAATGTCTGTGTATTGGTCTGCAACTTTCTATTTTACAGTTGGTCAAAAAACGCCTTTATTAGCGTTAGTAAACATTGTTATTTGGAGCAGGCCCATCAGTCGGATAAACCATGTAAAAATTCTCACTGAGTAAAGAGAGATTCCGTCAGAACACAAGTCTATAGGGTAGGTTGAATGCTAATGATTATTGTCAACAAAGACAGAACTTCGAATAAAACTCTATTGTCACTATTTGATTTACTAGATAAATCTAAAGATCTGAAGTACCTCTGCAAATTCATAGATAATTTTTGCAGTAACCGACTATGGCTTTGAACATATTCGTTTTATACCTTGAATTATTCACAAACTTATAATCACTTTTATATTGTATCAGTGAATGTTATTTTCCAAATTGAAGATGTATTTTATCATTATCCATATTCTGTTTTTCATTACAAATTTGAGAAGAGTTTCACCAGAAACAAAATCAAAATGTTCTGTTTTTCCAACTCAACACATGCAATTATCAATACTGTCATTATCTGTATTTTTGTTGTTTAAATCGTTGACTCACTAGTATTTGAGAAATTAAGACACAGATTGAATATCAGCGTGAAATTGTTGAGCAAAAGAATTTGGTCCCGCATATGCCCTAATAGAAAGATATATCTGATATATCCATCATAGAATACAGTTCAGCATATGAAAATAAAGATTTCTCTTGATTTGTTAGGAGATTCATTACAAGGAGGAAAACAACTATAAATACAAGACGGTTTATAACCATTCTATTTTATTTTTCAATCCCAAAAACGAACTTATTCAACTACAAAAACAAAGTATTTGGACGGATTCAAATTTACCGGTATAGATGTATAGAAAAGATATTAGTTCGGAAATAACAGGATTCTATGTGATTGAATTGGTCGTGATTGAGAAAATAATCTATTTTTTAATTTGTTTATATGACTTATGTTCATCTCAGTGAAATTTGAACTCGTTGTCGAAGTTGTTAATCTACTCCATCGTCTCGGATGATCAAAACTGAATTTAATCGATGATAAATAGTCTTGTTCATCATCAAATGAAAATTTTCCACTTAACACCAGTTCATGACCATCATTTGTCAAACTATATCCCGATGAATCGTTAATACATGGCCAACATACAAATCGATATAGTTCACGACGAAAACGTTTACCAAAAAATATATACAAATAACATTGTATTGCACTGTTAAATATCATTAGAAATTTGGAAAATTCATCGAAATTTTGTAAAATACGATGTCTTGTTGACATTCGGACAAAATACTCTACATCATATGAAAACATGATAGAAAATGGTATTGATGGAAATATACATATTAAATAAATACTAATGACACTGATGATCATGAATGTGACATCGTTTCGTTTTTGTTCACGAGGATTTATTTGACGATGTCGACGTTTTGAAAGAGATAAAGTGTTGATTAAATGATAATTTAATTTGAATACAATTATGAATGGAAGTACTCGAAGTAGAATACAATTAACAAATAATGTGATAATTAGACGCGTTGCTAAATTTTTTCCAAATATTGATAAACTAGATAAATAGAATTGAGGTAACATTGATTCGTGTAATGCAGTATCTGTATCGTTTGGTATTGTGTAATTTAAAAGACCAGGAACCATGTTATAACATGTTTGACTTAATAATTGTGGTATTAAATAAATCAATGACATTGCAAAACAAAAACCAATTACCAGACAAGCGTTTTTTCGAACACACAGTTTTTCCCCTTTAAATGGTTTGCATATCATTATATAGCGATCAATTGTAAATGCAACAGTTATCCTAAAGAGAAGATCAATAATGAATTGTATTTCAGAGTTAGTCATTTATATCCTGTCACAGTATACATTTTTCTACGTGGATTTCACACTCTCCCTTACTTTCTGTGCTCTTTGTATTTGTCTTAAAGTACGGCTTGAGTACGTAACGGTCGTCTACTTTAATGTTATTTTTACCTAAGTTCTCTGAGGAGAATTTCGGATAAGCGAATATAGAAGCAATACTAGGATGGATTTTTTGTCTCTGTGATAGAATGATAATTTTGCAGCATTGATGTGGCAATTCCATACAGCAATAGCTAACAATTTCTGTTTTATTAGAACAGCAGCTACACCAATAGTTTATTAGCTGTTCTCTTCAACAACCACTACTTCGAAGATTTTCTATTATCAAAACATAGGGTGAAGTATTGTTATCTAATAGTTTTACATTCAGCGTATTTCTTCTCGATATAAGCTTTCGAGGGGTATCGGTTTCGAGCCCTCGAAAAAAATTTCGAGCCGTCGAACAGAGATATTCGGGATTTCGTCGCGCCCTCGGGGGAACGAGGCTTGGAAGTCCCGAATATCTCTGTTCGACGGCTCGAAATTTTTTTCGAGGGCTCGCTACCTATCTGAAATCCGAGGGCTCGAAACCGATACCTCTCGAAAGCTTATATCGTGGGTTCGAAGTGTCATTTTCCGAGGGTTCGAGCCCACGGCGAGGGCAGGCACGTAGCCAGGATTTTGGGGTATACTGGATCTCAACTTCAGAGCATGGGTCCCAGATGAACCTTATGGAGGATGATATTGGGCCCAAATGATAAGTTTCTAATAAAAAAACTTTGCAATTGGAGTTTGCGAAAAAAAAAAGTTTTTTCTTTGGGCACCCCCCTCAAAATTTTTTACGTTAACGTTATAACTCCTGAACGGGTGCATATTTTTAGATGAAATTTAGAATCTGCCGATGAAATTCGATGTAGATTACGATAAAATTCTAGAAAATGGAATACTAAAAAAAACAAAAAAATTTTGAGGG